AAATACAGTAGTTCTCCATTCATCTCTAGAAGGAACATCGGCGGATATCGAATTTCTCACGTAGGCTACTTCAGACTTAGAGAAAAAGGTGAAAATAGAAGAAATTTGTGAGCAAGATGATGCTAGTTTGAAGGATAAAATCATATAACGATAAAGTGATAAGTAAGATGTGCAAATGCAGATAATCTGCTCCAGGATATATATCAATATAATGTATATTTAGAAAGGGCCATTTAAAATTAGAACTGTGGATGTAGACGCAAAATTCAATTCGAATTTTCTACGCAAACAATGGAACCTTATGAGAAGTCTTCGGGTGAGGAGAATAATTAGTGTAAATAATATAATCAAAATTCATAAAGAAATCCTAGTAATCTAGAGGGTAAAGTGCGACTAGCAATCAGATGCTACTGATTAAATCGGAAAAATATAAAAGATATTTATATTTGGTAGCCGTTTAAACCTAAAGTTACTGAAGGTATGAAGACCAAGATGGTGTGGCCTATTATGTGGTCGCAGTCTCCAAGTTGCGAAAACAAGGTCAAACAACTTCTACAGTTACTGATTTTAAGAATATGTAGATTGAACAATTTACTTTACCAACCAATCTGATTGTGTGATCAGGAAGGAGCAGTATCATTCAGATACAAAGATAAACTTAAAATTCATATTTTTCTAAACTATAATAGGCACAAAAAACTGAGGACCAGTCAGAGCAACTAATAGAAAAAATGTAGAAGATAGCTTCAGAAATAAACGAGGATAAAAAGGCTGTTTAAACAGGGAAGATTATGTTCAGCTCATATTTGGAGTCTGGACATTAGAGAATACGAAGAATTGGCAAAAAGTGGCAAATCAAATTTTGTATATGATTTAATAAGCTCCTACTTACAATGTTCACACTAAAAGGATCAAGATCTTAGTCAGATGTTTTTTAATTCTAACAAGACAAACAATCGGTGAAAAGTGAACGTCTCAATAATATTGATCAATTGAAAATGAAGTACGAAACATTAAAAAAAGGAATCTCAATGCCTTGGTGGTGCAAGTGTTCAAAAACCCCCACTACAGAATAGATGAATGCTAAAGGAAAAGCCGTGAAAATCGGATAATTACTTTACGAGATTAATTGTGATTGGTATCCATTATTTGCTGACCCCTTTTCACATCAACATGTATTTTTTGAATTGGCTCTGCAGAAATCTTGGCAGAATGTCATACTAAGCTTGTAGGAATAAGGAATAAGAATAGCCAAGGGGGAGACTTACTTGTTTTTACCTCTAAACTAAAGAGGTTGGTGAGAGGTTAGTGAAAGGTTTATTATAATAACAGGTTCAGGATAACAAAAATTAGTCTGGAAAGACCTCAAAGTGACCCGAAGCGAAGGGCAAACAAAATGCTATGATAAGGCATATAGCATGGAAGAAGTTAAGTGAAAGCACATAATAAAATTAATAGTTGGGGAGAAAGGTCATTCCAATTCTATTCGATGCATAGAGGGAAATGAAAAGATAATGAAGTCATACACATATATAGTCCTAAAAAGTAACATATAAGAAGGAATAAAAGTTGTTTAGTATAGTTCCAAGTAAAAGTACTGGGCGGATGAGGCACATCTTTTAGTCATCCGTTGATAATTCTTAAGTCTTGGTAGATTAAGCTGCCTGGAGCACTTAAAGCATAAAGCCTTTTGCGAAATAGGCATTAAAAATAAACTTAAAGCCCATAAAGGCATCTAAGTATGTCAACAAAGACGTTTAGATAAAGAAAAATACTTGCCAAAATAATCATTCGAAAATTTAAAAAAGACTGCCTATAAACTAGTTGCAGGTATCGAAATGCCAGAAAGGCAAGGCGATTTAAATGATACAGAGGAAACTCTGGATGCGTTGATGGAAAGATAGAAGCTGAGAAACTAGCACCAGTAAATGGCATGCGGAATTCAGACTTAAAGAATATAAAAAGATGAACAATATAAGACTAGAAAAATATGGCAAAATATAAGCCAGAGAGAATAGCATGGATTATTCCAAGCCAAAAGTGAATGAAACTCATTATAAAATGGGTTCTGTAATATGCAATATGAGTATGAACTTGACGACCTGATACCAGAGCAACTGGCAATATGGCCAAAGGAAAATGGTTCAGTTGGTGATGGAGGAAATATGAACTCCTCATACAAATGAGTCAAACATCCCTGAAAGACTGTTTTCTGGCATTATAGATAATTGGCATAGATACAATCACTCTCTACCTTACAAGTTCAATCAGCTATGAGTACCAGCCTTGAAACCCTGATTCTGCGGACTTGCATTCCTGAATGAATTAACCGAAGGCCAAAGCCTTCAACTGAATCAACATCATGCCCAATTCGATAGGTTTGGTTATTTGACACATCTTGAGTGATGTTAACCCATGATGAAAAGATTATAAAAAGTCTTGTGAATTTAGCCCGGGGCTATGAATAAAACAATGCAAGATAATCTTTTAATAATGGAGGCATAATACCAAGCATACATATATCTTCCTACAACACTGACAGTAAGAGCTCATTCATTCTAGTAAATCAAGGCTATAATGGAATCCTTGAAAATCTTCGAGTTAGAATGACATAAAAGCTATCGGCTGCATCCTGACAGATATGCTTAAATTGACGAATAAAAAATAT